GGACCCAAAATGAAGGGAGATTTCGATGTGTCAGTTCCAAAGATTGAAGGTGACACAAAAGCTCCCAAGCTTGACATTGAAGGACCAGATATCGACATTGATGGCCACAAAGGAGGCTTTAAAATGCCTACATTTAAATTGCCATCCTTTGGACTGAAAGGTCCAAACATTGAAGGGCCAGAAGTTGATCTAAGCCTCCCGAAAGCTGATATTGACATTAATGCTCCTCAAGTGGATATCAAAGGACCAGATTTTGACATTGAGAGTCCAAGTGGTAAAATCAGAGGACCCAAATTCAACATGCCAAGCATTTCAGGACCAAAACTTTCCATGCCAGATGTGGATTTCAACCTGAAAGGTCCCAAAATGAAAGGTGATGTGGATATGTCAATGCCAAAGATAAAGGGAGGCATAAAATCACCTGACGTTGACATCAAAGGTCCACAGGTTGACATTGAAGGTCCCTCAGGTGGATTTGAAATGCCTAAAATCAAAATGCCATCATTTGGCTTCACAGGTCCAAAAGTCGAGGTTCCAGATGTTGATGTAAACCTTCCCAAAGGTAACATTGATGTCCCTGATGTTAACATTAAAGGGCCGGACTTTGATGTTGAAGGCCCTGATATAAAATTGAAAGGATCCAAATTCCAAATGCCATCAATATCAGGACCCAAGCTGCCCGAATGGGATTTGAGTCTGAAAGGTCCCAAGATAAAGGGAGATATGGCCACTCCAAAGATTGAGGGAGACATGAAAACACCTGAGATTGAGATCAAAGGTCCTAACGTCAATTTTGAAAGTGGACCAAAGGTGAAGTTACCAAAAATATCTGGACCGAAAATATCATTTCCAGATGTTGACGTCAATCTGAAGGGGCCAAAGTTGAAAGGTGATTTGAAAGGGGATATTCACCTACCAAAAGCTGAATTTGAGGGTCCAGATCTTACAATTGACGTTCCAGAAATTGGCACAAAGAAATCTAAATTCAAAATGCCAAAGTTTGGTTTCAAGAGCCCAAAGATGAAGGCACCAGAAACTGATGTGGAAATGGTAAAAGGCGATATCAGCATCAAAGGGAAGACTGGTAGCTCTGAACATCTTGATCTTGACCTTGGGTTGACTGGTTCGAAAACTAAAGGATCAAAATTCAAGATGCCAAAATTTGGTTTCAAAGCCCCAAAGGTTGAAATGCCAGAAGTTGACATTAATCTTCCCAAAGCTGGCATTGACATAAAGAGTCCCAATGTCGACATTGAAAGACGAGGTGTTCAAATTGATATTCCGGATGTAAAAGTCAAGGGACCAAAACTCAAAATGCCAACAACCTCAGGACCAAAAATGTCCATGCCAGATGTAGATTTCAATCTGCAAAGTCCCAAACTCAAAGGTGATTTGGATATGTCACTTCCAGAGATAGGAGACATAAAAATACCGGAAGTTGACATTAAAGGTCCAAAGGTTGATGTTGAAGGTCCCAAAGGTGGATTTGAAATGCCTAAAATCAAAATGCCATC